AAAGTATACTATAACCTGCCCAGGAGTATGAAGAATAATTGTACCAAGTTTCGTGAAAATCCGTCGACAAGTTTTTGTTTCTATAAGGAACATACACACAGACAGACAGACACAAAAATTTTACTGATTGCATTTTTGGCATCAGTATTGATCACTAATCACCCCCTGATAGTTATTTTGAAAATATATTTCATGTACAGAATTGACCTCTCTACAGATTTATTATAAGTATAGATGACATGCAATAGGGTGTAGAGGTTTTCACCAGCAGTAACGGGGATTCCGGAAATCTCCACGTTGTTCATACGTGAGAACTGATCCCGTTTATTATTTTCGAGCGCAAGTGCCGCAATAGCGTCTTTCGCCGAGTCCAAATCGGCTTTCAATTGACCGCAATTGAAATTGAAATCTTCTGTGATACCGATCACAGAAGATTTTTTCTCTGTTTCTATAAGTCTGTCCTCAATGGCGCTAAATCGAGATTCCATCTCCCAGATTTTTTTGTTCAATTCCTGTATTGCCGTAGTAACGTTTTGGATGTTGGTATTCAATGTGGAAAAGGACATCGGCTATACTTGCCTCAGCGTTGGCCGGGGAATTGGACGAACCCCCCACTCCCACACACTGCTCAACAAGATCGTCGCAGGACATGTCTGCATCTGTCAATACCTGCTCGAACTGCAGCCTCGTAGGTGTTTCATCTCCTTTAGGACGTCTGGATGTCATGTTACAAGTGGGACAAATCCATTTGTTCTTAGTGGCCATGTATGCCTGCGATGACATGCTTAAACATTTGTAGTGATAATGGCCCTTACAACCCACACAAGTCAATACCTCTATACGATTAATCTTATTCTTACAGGCTTGGCAATCCATGGTAATAAAAAAAATGTGTTGGTATAGCCAAACAAGTGATTTTATCAAGTTGTATCTTATGGAGTTATTATCAGCACAAACGCTTCTGCGATGCTTAATCTTTGCACGATGACGCAAAATACGGTTTGATGATGCGCTGCGGTAAAACGCAAGCGAAACTCGCACTTACCACTGCACGCGCACCAAGGGGCAGCGACTCCAATTCGCTTGCACAGCCTTTGTCTCACAAAATAAGTGAAGGTAACGACACAATATGATCACAGCAATAATCGCTGCGGAATTTTTTATTTAAGTACTTTATCGGCACTAGCACTCGGAAACTAATTAAAAAAAAACGTTTAATACGATATATTTTATAAAAATAATGTATAAAAGTTGCACAATAGACACTTTTTTAATAATTTAAGTTGGAGCTCTTAGTAACAAAGACTAATCCAATAACCGGACGGTCAAAAAGAAAATTTTAAAGAAGAAAGATTTTCATATTTCCCTCCGCATTTATCGAGACCCAATAAAAATTTTCTAGTTTCATTAATTTCATTCATTAAATGCATCGAGATCAGTTTCGTGCTATGATTTTTTACGATTTTTAATGTGGCTTAAAATCTGATGAGTCATTTGATCGATTTCAAACTGCTTTTATGGATGAAGGACCTTCAAAAGCAACCATCTACCGCTAGTGTAGCGAGTTCAAACGCGGTCGTCTTACTTTGGGGGATGAACAAAGGTATGGTCCTACGACGGCTGTCACCGAAGAAAGTGTGCTGGCAGTAAAATTTTAAATCACGAATACAGACGAATTACGTACGAAGAGATTCAGCATACTCTGTAGTTCAGGAAGTGTTCACAAGATTTTGCACGAGCACCTTTGCGTAAGGAGAATAGTTTCCTGCTGGGTGCCGCACAACCTAACCGAAGCTCAGAAGCAGGCCCGTGTGGATTGGTGTAGTGATATGATACAAAAATTTGATGCAGGCTCGTCACGGCGCGTTTACGGTATTTTGACAAGTGACGAATCTTGGATTTATAAATACGATCCAGAAACAAAGCGTCAGTCGAAAGTTTGGCTGTTTCAAAATGAACCATCGCCTACGAAAGTGAAGCGATCGAGGAGCGCTGGGAAAATTTTGATCGCTAGTTTCTTCACTTTGACGGGGTACCTAATTTCAATTCCGCTTCGAGATCAAAGCAGCATCAACGCCGAATAGTATAGCACAAAATGCCTGCCAGAAGTTTTTTCAGCAATGAGCAACAAGCGACCTAACACCGGGCTCCGCGGGGTCCTTCTTCACCACCAGGGGTATCCCTTTGAGCAGATTTTTTACGAGCCTGCTAGCGCTTCTTCCGACGATGAAAACTGTATAGTTTTCATCGCCGCAGCAGGGTTTGAGAAGACCGTGGAGCGAACATGTTCCATTACATAGTTGGTTTATATTTCGAGCATGATCACCACCGAGCTAAGCACCTCTCTTGCCACCTTATTCCAAATCGCAGACCAAATGCAGTCTTAGTATAAACCTAATGCTCTCTATCTTCTTTTTAGAAAACAAAAGCGACAGCAAAAGTTTAAGACCGGGTGTAGAACGCAGACGTGGCCGCACCGCAGTCATCGCTTTTTGTTAATGGCCTCGCACATCGTTAAAAAAAATGAAAAACAGTAACATTCTGAGTTTTTCATTAAAATTCAATAATCATAAATACCTATTATAATAATATATTTTTCATCATTTAATAAGAAGGAACTGTATCACAGTTTTAATGTTAGTACTTCGTATAGGATCAGATACTGCGAATACCCCCTTTTTTTTCTTTTACATAGTACACCGCGCTATCACTTTGTCATCGTTGTAACTTTTTAAATATTTGTCGAAATGACATAGTGTAAAAAGCAAAGTTTATCGTCTTTAAATATCAGAAGCCATTAAAGTATTTGTTTTGATAAAAAATGATTTGTTAATACAAAATGTGCATTTTGGAAATAGATATCAAATAATATTTTAGTTTTGATTCACTATTTTAGCGGTAATGACTTACACATTAAAAATAGGTATATGGTTTCACGGACTTTTTTAGAACTATTTAAGAGATACATTTTCACTCTACATTACATCCATGTAACTTTTATTGTTTTTGCAGTGCAGGCCAAAATGGCTCGCAGATGGGACATTTTTTTCCGTCTTATGTGACACTTATTGCTATATATTGGCCAATTCACTCAATAACTACATAAATTATTATATATATGTAATTATCATATATGAGCTATATTACTGTTAAGTTTCATTAAAACCCGTTCAGTATTTTTTAGGTGAAAGAGTAACAAAGATCCATACAAACGTAAGATTGAAATTAAAAGCGTAAGTGGTTAATATACAACTTTAAAGCCTAAACAATCATATAAAATGAAAAATGGTGTTAGGAACCTAAATATGATTTTTGATTATCTAGACAGTGATACCCACTCGACATATTTTGTCAACATTTTTTTTTACTTCGTCACAATATGGCGCCTAATTTGGCCCATATTGAATTTTGATTACTATCATATCTTTAGTAGCACTCCCATGATTGAGACGAATCAATTGATGTATGAATCATCAAAATCGGTCCAGGCGTTTGGTCTCTAGTGTGCCACAAAGGAACAAACATACATATATAGACTGTTAAACACATAACCCTGTCTGCGCGTCGCGCTTCGCTTCGCTTGCATTGCGCAGCCTGGTAAAAAGGTCCGAAATATCATATGTCTAACTACTGTTATGGCACAACTAAAGGTCCCCTGCGGTTTCACCCGCGTTAATTTGAGGGAAAAGGTTATAGTGAGTCAAACTTAAAAGATATTTATGCTGGGCATATGCTGTCGCGGACTTTTTTAAAGAAATTTTATAGAGGTACAATTATGTCATACATCATTTTTGTGTAACTTTAATCAATCATTTACGTAGCGCACGTAACGGAATCTCCCAAATGGAATATTTGTACCAGTTTTTGCAAAAAATTACATTGATACTCCTCTCCTACTGGTCGCAGCGTAATATAATATAGCCTTAAGCCTTACCCAATAAATGCACTATCTAACACAAAAGAGATTTTTTCAAATCGGACTATTAGTTATTGCGCGTTCAACCAAAATTCGGTGCATTCGGTACAACGGGTCCTAAACTACGCAACAAAATGTTCACTATCAGTTAAATAATTTTTCAACCCTGCGGATGACGTCATTGATGCAGGCGTGGCGGGAGACTCGACCAGCGCTCAATTGGCATGAGGGACCAAGGTGTCCCAACTCACCGACGCAAGTTCCGCAACGACAGCAATGGGGATGATTTGTCTTGACGCCAAGTCTAAGTGAAATTGCAAGATAGAGTGCTCCTATCAAGCAAAGTCCCGATATTACTTACTTTATTACAACCAGTAACCAGGCTCGGTATGAAAAACCGCTAGAAGACTAGCACGCTCAGCTGCGTTTACAGACGAAGCTAAAAGATCACTCTGGTGAAGACCCAAACAGAGTGGCTAGTCCCACTGCTTCTGAGAAGATGAGGAGGGTGGTGGATCTACTCCCGGGCATGCCCCACACCAAGCTTCCCTCGCCCCTGCAAGGTGAGCCAGCCCCACAGAGATTCAAAGAAGATATCTGGCCTTCTATTTTTTTCTACGGGATATATATCAAAAATAAATTCAGTGGTAAGGGATAAAATATCCTTTCTTTCAACAAATTCAACGTCTTCTTTGAGGAGTATGAACACACGCCATCGTGGTGTTTTCTATAAAATGATGTAGCCACTTCAAAGCCGTCAATCGTAGTAGATCTCATTTTTTCTTGGTTAACCATATCTCAGTCAAACAACTTTTAATACAGCTATCATCTTGTGTAATTTACTCTATTCGGTGAATTTTATTTATTACACTTCTGATGTTTTGATACATGATTTTGATTTTTTTTGTGTTAGGCACGAAAATTAGAGTTTCTAGCTAATTAATGTCTATTGGCGTTTGAGTTTTCTATGTTAATGTTGTTGTTTACCCTACCTAGAATTGCGTGAAATGCTAATCCTTGATTAACCAAAAATAAATGGATAATCCTGGTTCTTAAATTATACATACTTAAATACTATACTTACCCACTTCAAGGTATCAAACCTCCATAACTTGTAAATAGACTTGAAAATGCCTCCATTCTGCGAAATAATTGTTACCAATTTGGCCCACTTGTCTAAAGCTAGAAGAGACATATTTTGAGATTTTTTGTTCTTAAAAATTTTGCAAATGCAAGTAATAATGTTATTTGTAAGTCATTACAAATATCGAAAATGTCTTATAAAAAATACTCTTTTTGGTCTACGACGTAAATCATGGACGGAGGATTTCCCTTCTACGTAAATACCACCAGACTACCGTGAATAGCTTTTAATTCGGCACCGTAGCACTGGCCCTGTATATGGGAGTGTAGGAGAGGAGACCTTTTAGGTGCCAAGTAGCGATTGAAAATTAATGGCATAGCTAGCGTATCGTGGAGCCATGGAAAAAGTATTGAAATTTTATGTCCATGCATGACACACAACAAATGAAATGAAGATAAGCCGCAACAAAATTTCATTTGCTCTTTATTATAGCTAGGGGCAAATAGCCAGAATCGGGAACTTGCAGTGGTTATATTTTGTTGCAGAAATATTTGGTGAAACGGAAGCGTCAACCAAGGAGAGCTGATCAGAGCTGCGCTCCTCCCTGATTGAAAGCTGGAAGCACGCCGTGTGTACTTTGCAAAATTAACCAACTATTATAACCATAGAATTGTTTAACCTTATCTTCTTCGGACCTCTTCATTCTTCACCTCTAGTAGCTTTTGTTGCTACTCAACGTACTCGACATTCTGTTTCAAAGAATTTCTAGCTCCTGGTCCTAAACGTTACAAATTTATCCATCTGTTTTAAGAAATTATATTAAACACAAGAAGCTGCGGAACCAGGGCCGTATTTAGGGTTCTGAATGCCGGTAACTTTGAGGTTGTGTGATAAAAGAAGACTCTTTTGCAAAGTCTATTTCTTACTGCCTCCTGATTTCTGAGTGAGCAGGCAAGTGGAACGGATCATACCTATCTTTTTTATTCGTCCAAGTAGCCCTTTAGGACATCCAAGATTATGATGTTGATGGTCGGGACATCGAACTGGTTAAACTAAACGATGTATTTAAAAAGCGAAAGAAAATTTTACTAGAAAAAAAAATCCGCTGCGAATATGAGCGGAATATGCGGGTGACAAATAGTGCAGTCATTGAAGCGAAAAATACGGTCTTACCTCCGAATTTTTTTACTGTGCACCGATTTGCATGAAATTTTGGAATTAGGCTCATCTTACCCTTAACTTCAAAAGTGAAAATGATCTGAACTCCGCCTATTATTTTTAAGGGGTGTAAACAACCCCTTAATGGAAAAATTGACATTGAGCCATTTTATCGCTGGAAAACATGTCGTATGTAAGTGATGAAATTGTAAAGTATTCTTTTTTATTATAATTGCCTCATATCAAAATAATTTTCAACCCATATATATATATTACATATTTAAAAATAATTTAATTTAGAGTAAAAATTTGCCATATTTTGAATAAAATATTTACTAATTATATAAAATTGTACTATTATTTTTAAAATCTAATATTATTATTCATGACTCAATGTCGGAGTCGCTGTCACATTGAACATCTTCTGGCTGAATTGGAGGGCTATTATGGCAGTTATCTCCACTGGTACTACTACAAAACAGACCAACTTTTCTGCATCCGCAAGACGCTCCACATCTTTTTTGCAGTTGCAAAAAATCATTTTCAGCAGTTCTTGTGGTGCGGGTGGATCTACAGACTTAAGTGGATTTAATAAACCGTCATTCATGACCTACCCCCAATCCGTTGGATAAATGATGATGATGATGATGATGAAATGTGTTATATATACATATAAGAACGTTGGTATGTATTCATGGCTACGTTTCCAAAATATATGAGCCATATTATGTATATATATACACATTACAATAGTTGTGGGTCTCTATTATACTGCGTACTTTCACATTGCTCCAAATATTCACACTCCGAAATTTTCAGTTACTAAGTAGAAAAAAATATGATAAGTTTTGGACCAAAACTCCTTAAATTTTCATGCTATCACAATTTATGTAAAACCATTGTAAAGGTAATTAAGAGAGCTACAACATCCTTCATTGCAATATATAATAAAAAACCTTTTTCTAAAACGGTGAAGGGTTAAAGGGCTTAAGAGAGGCTGTGATTGCGCTGCCACGCACTCTTTAAACAATCATATCTCCGTCAATTTTATTTTGACCGGAATAACAAAAAACTAAATTGTTTGTCAGACAAATACCTAAATTTTTAAATCGTACACTTTTATACGTATCTGTCGTCATTTTTGAGATATTATGAAAAACCAAACTGATACTATCTATCAAACTCTTCATAATAAAGTTAATTCTAGGCGGAATACGATTAATTTTAATTTTGGTGGAAATGGCACTTATGAAACCCATTGATTTAAAAGAAAATTGCAATACAGCTCACTTATTTTACGTACAAAAGACTTTTGTATTAGAATGCATAAAATGCATCTGCTCGCCGCTAGATGGCATTGAACACATCGATTAAATTTCAGACAAAATAAAAAACGGCTTTGATCTTTAATATCCAGCTTAATATTGCACTTAGAATACTTTATAAAAAACCAAATTGTTCATTGTTTTACCTGCTACAATTTTGTTATTTATATAATTTTCGATAAAACTTATATTTTTGGAGATAGTTTTTAGGAAAAACGGGAAAAAATTACGAATTTTCAATTGCCAATAACTTGAAAAGTATTGGATTTTTTGAAAAACTTTATAGATGATTTTTTGCTTAAAATTAGGCTTTCTATCGATATCCGAGGTTATTTTGAAAAAAAAAATAATTCACCCCCGAGAAGGGGTGCAAAATCATTGCGCGGAGTTCAAATCATTTTCACTTTTGAAGTTAAGGGTAAGATGAAGATAATTCCAAAACTGTATGCAATTCGGTTCACAGTAAAAAAAATCGGAGCAATAATGCTTCAATGACTGCACTAAAATGGGTGTTCGAATCCCGTCTGAAACCGGGACCGAATGGAAATTTGACTAGTAAAATTTTCTTAAGGTAAACATTCAGCAGTTAAATGCTTAAAATAAATATATAATAAAAAATGATCATCATTTTGTCATTGTCGTTACTTCAATGAGTTCAGGTATCCTATGTCACCCAGGAAGGCAAATGGATTCTAACGATACCACATACATATAAATCAGTTCAGGCGTTTAAAAAATATATTGGAATAAAGCATCACACATACACACATGAACCCTGAAAATATTACACTCTTTTTTTTGGGCAGTCACGTAAAAATACACCATAGTTATAACTTTTTAACTGAGATCTTTATTGTATAAGTTATTGTTAGTTAACTTGATCTAAGAATATGTTATAACGACAATCATTTATCAAAGAACATTTTTGATATATAAAATACAACACATAATAGTGACTTAGGCTGTGACTCACCACATAAACTAATATACATATAGGTAAATCTTGCCCAAAGATAAGCTTCAAAAGATTTTCGTAGTTTATTTATACAACTTGCTAAGGGCTTATTTTGTAAGGGTAAAGTGAAAGAAATAAAGGGCAGGCAACCATGTTGATATAAAGTAATTGTCGGAATGTACCTGGTTCTATTCTCGAGTGTCGCCATACGTCACTGGGAAAACATAGTTTTAATGTTAATTGCAAGTAAGTAAAATTACGATTTATTGGTAAAGTTGCAGTACATTATCAGGCTAGACGTCTCGAATAAACCACTAAAACTTTAAGAAGTTTAACCCTTAGTTGAAAATATCTTCATGTTATGAGACACTGCCGTAGGTCTCGTTGTTTGAAACCTAATTTAATGTAACTATAATAATTAAAACGCTTAACTAAGACCTCGCATACGGGTTACAGGGAATGGGGGAGGACGAGAACGGGGACCGTGAGAGCGCCGCACGCACCTTGTCTTGGCACTTGTAATTCTGACAAGAAAGTGCCTGCCGCCCGCACCTCTCACGGTCCCCGTTTTCTTCCTCCCCCATACCCTTTACCCTGCAGGCGAAGACTCCATTAAGCGGGCTATCTATAGTCAATGTCACGTAAAATACATAGCGAGTGTGAAATTTTTACATCGTTATTTTTACCAGGTATTATAACTATAGTTACATTTGGCTATGTATCAAACAACGCGCCTTAAGTCTTATAATAACGTACTATTTACCTAATACAAATTAACTTTTAAAAAGAACACTGCTGTTTGCCTTAAGTACTCTGACACCGTTTAAGTCATAGAGCAACACAGCCAACGCGGCTAGGTGAGTAGGCATTGTCATCGTTCCCCTCTGTCGATTTTTCAAAAAATCTTTGCCCGATTTAGAGTATTTCTTTTTATGTGTGAGTGTCGTAATTACAATTTCGTTTTTTCGTAAGTATGTTGGACTGCATTTGTGTGCATATTCTCTCCCCCCGCAAAAAGCGGCAGAATGATTTCAGTAGAATTATATCATTATGGCTACTCCCCTCTAAGCCGCGTCGGCTGTGTTGCTCTATGGATTAAGTATATATTCCAATTCATATATTATGACAGTTCATTTGAAATTTACACTGGTTACACTTTTTCTTCCACGTACGCCATAACATAATACAGGATTTTAAAAGCCTCACAATAAACTTTTTAATAATATTATAGTAATTAGCGTCATTGCTACCATGTACCTTGCCTTTTCCTTGTTACGAGTCGTGTTACCAGTTTCCTACGGTCTCCTAAAGACAACTTCTTGAAACCTGGTGTCTACAAGATCGACTACAGCTGTGGTAGCTCATACTAGTCAAACAAAGCTAACAATAGCGTGCCGAATGAAGGAACACGTAAAAAACAATGATACGCTAAAAATCAGCCATCACAGAACATTCCACTGCATTTAGCTCCAATCCACAGATTATTTCGACAGAACGCCACCACGTGCCAAGATTTGCAAAGGAAGCTTTTAAAATAACCAAACACAAAAGTTACAATCGTGAGGACGGTATGTGCAAAAATCTAAAAACCAGAAAGTGTCATTTCGCAATCGGATACTTTGAGTATTGTGTATCGAGAACACTTTACAATGTAACTAAAGATTAAGAGAGGGTAGACTGATGTATGCCAATAACATCTACCTGCAATTACTTCAGTTACTGCGTGAGCGGAGCACTTGCAA